GATATAGATTAGTGTTTTTATAAAATTAAGATTTAGACCTCAAATTGAGGTCGGATCTCGAAATAAATCACATATTTGGACTCGGGGGTGAATAGACAATCGAAACTTGGTCTTAATTTTAGATTCAACCACGTGGGCCCGGGTTGACTTTTTGTTGACTTTTTCAATTATGTTAAAGATTGAACCTTTTTCGTACGAGGGTATTTTCTAAAGCCTGTTTTGACTTATTTGAGTAATATTTGACTAGATTTTGGTGGTTTAGAGGCTTGTTCTAAAAGAAAAGCCGTGTTGGATTGTTGATCTTATTCCGAAAAGAGGTAAGTATCATGGTTAACCTTGATTTGAGGGAATTAAGACACGATTGGTCGATTTGCTATGTGATCTATGTGTGGGGATGTCGTATATGCAAGGTGACAAGTATATATGCATTATCATGAGTTTAAGCATGCAGGGTGTACCATTTTAATTCACGTCTTTAACTATACCATATCTTTACTTATTTCATATTTTTACTTATTAGGTGCTCTTATTTGATACATATTTTTACTTGGTATATGTGTATTCACTTGTTACATGTCCTTAATTGTTACATGTTGTAGCTTATTTCATACCTTTATTTATCGTACGCCTTTACCTATTACATGCTCTTACATGCTATTAGATAAATGCTTTTACATGTCTCATACCTTTACTTGCCTTATTGCCTTTACTTGTTTTTTGTTTCACTCTACTATGTTTTATCGGATTACATGATCATTAGATAGTTCCCATTATTACAACTCATTGTGGCTCTTGTTGATATATATTGTGATGCTAGTTTATGAACATTGAATTGTTTGACATTTTTTGTTCGTGTTTTCTTGGTGAATTATGCATTTTAGCTCCCTTTTATGTTATATAGTGAGATTCGCCATATTTGGTTGTTATTGAGCATTTTTAATTGAATTGATATTGGGATCGATTTGTACACCACAACGGTATTGTTAATGATATTGAGATCGGGTTGCATGCCCCAATGGTATTGTTATTGATATTGGGATCAGGTTGTGCGTCACAACAGTATTGCTATTGATATTGGAATCGGGTTGCGCACCACAACGGAAAGGATGTCTTGTAGTTGTTCTTGGTTATTATGATCCGCTACCGTGTTGTATTATGAGGTTGTAATGTGATATTATTTTGTGGCCCTCTGTTATCTACTTTCTTATTCCATTCATTATGTAGTTATCTGTTTCTCTATATTGTCATTGTTTTTCTGCTAATTACTCATACAGTTTATTGTGAGTGTCTTACCATATCCTCGTCACTAACTCGAGGTTAGGCTCGATATTTACTAAGTACATGGGGTCAGTTGTACTCATACTATACTTTTACACTTCTTGTATATATAGATCCCGATGTTGGTACCAGCAGTGTTCATAGGTGATTGCTAGGACCTTTCCCATAAGACTTGGGTTAGTGTTGCTTGGCGTTCACAGACTCTGAAGTCCCCTTCCTACCTTTATCTATTGTTTATTGTACCAAACAATATTGTATTTTTGATTGCAGACTTGTATTTAGCATTACTAGTGGTTCATGTACTTGTGACACCAGATACTGGAAAATGTCTTAAACAACGAGAGCTGTAGATCTATTTTTCGTTTTTTGCGATTTCACTCTTTCATCATTATTAGTATGCCTTTAGTTGTTATGCTTTAGTCATTGTGCTGATGTTGGCTTGTCTAGCAAGAGGATTGTCACGCCCCGACCTTGGGGAGCGCGACCTGTACTCAACCGAGATATCCCAGTCAAGCAAGCCTGCTCGATGCCTCCTACCCGACCTTACCCATGAATAAAGTGAAGATGCATGCCATTCATTAGACAATGAGAGGATTTCATTATCATTAGTTACTCTATTTATAATTCCCAAAATACATTGCACATTCATAGCCTAGAAGTAGAAACATGTGATACATATACAACATTTCTAGTTTAACTTTCCAAAGTCACGATATAACTCACATTATGTCTATGGAGCCTCTAATGGATACAAAGAGTGATATCATGGTGCCGGCAACAAGGCCCCGGCTATACCTCAAAACACTATGCAAAAGGAGCAAAAGATACAAGACCCCAATATGAAATGGGGCTCCCCAAGTCAGTTGAGGAGAGTATGTACCGCTATCACTGATCGATGCCGCTTGCTGTGGAACCACCTGCATCCATTAAAGATGCAGCGCACCCCAGCAAATGGACGTTAGTAAATATGGAATAGTACTAGTATGTAAGACTAAACACCCTCTCAATGAATCGTATAACTGTACAATGAGAAAGAAACATGGAATCAATGAGAGCCTCAAACAGTATTAGAGCATGAAGTTAAGAGAAAGGTATTTTCCAAGTAAATATCATTATTTTTAAGTTGGGAGATCTTTAGTACCGATATACCACCGTGTGTTTAGCAATGGAGTCCGATCTCGGCCCGATTAGCTAAGCCATCTCACTCCGAGACATCCAATCACAACACCACCATGTGCGTGGCATGGCGTCCGATCTCAACCCGATCAGTTAAGTCGTCTCACCACAATGCCGTGTGGATCGACATCACTTTATGCTAGCAATCATCTCATTCCAATTAATGGAAATAATCTCAACACATCAATCTCATCCCATTTAAGGGGAATAATCTCAACACATCAATACGGGAATTTACCCCTCAATCACTCCTACGCCGGCACGCGTAGTTTCGGGGTTAGGTTATTTCAACCTACCCTTCCTAGGTGATTAAACGATACTCCCAAAATATTTATTATATAAAGGAGTTACAACTTATTTCATAGCCTTTCACACATTCTTTTCATTTTATTGGCATTATTGGCCACAAGTGTAATTTTCATTCTTGGCGCGATGGCCATATTTTATATCTCATATTCACTTTCAAGTATCATCAAAGGTTATCAACAATAAGAGCATTTGAAATCAGACTTTGAATATGTATATTAGTAAATGGAGTCTTAAGCACATTGAGTTTTCTTCCCAATAATTAAGTATCATAAACTTGCATTTGAAACATGAATTGGAGTCATAACATTTTGAAACATGAACCATACTTGAATACATTCACGAAGGAGGGCATAACGTGATAGGAGCAATTGAAACATATTTTGAGCATATAATTCCCGACACAATGCTTATTTGAGATAACTGAATATATTAGAAATGGCCCAGATCATGAGGAAATAAGAACTTCGGCCAACCACGCTTGAAACATACGAGGACATCATGGAACTCGATTCTATGAGAGAAGTTTAGCCAACATACCTCGCTTGAGCTTTTCTTAAATTACTACAATGTTCCGAAACTCCGAGCGACTTCAATCTAATTAGAGACATAACAAAACCATAATTAGGAATAGATTCATGAGTTCAGCTCATTTAAGCATTTCATCAAGCACTAGGTGTGCAATTTAGTTACAAGGTTCTTTTATGGGATTTCCTTCATCCCGCCACCAATCCAACACCAAGAGCTTACTCATATTAGTTCAATGACCTCCCCACCACCTTTATTGATATATGCATGCACAAGAACAACTCTCATTCCCAAGAATCACACTCCCCATTACTCATCTTCTGCCCCAAATTCAAAATAGAAAGCTAGTGCTAGAACATTACCTCTTTAGTGGACAATTTTGCAAGTTTTCCTTGTGAATTCTCTAAGGCTTGTGCAAGGAATTGAAGTGGAAGATGTTGGAGCCCCTCCTTCTCTCTCTAGTTCCTTCCCACTTCTTAAAATATCTGATTTTTGCCTTCTAAATGAGCCCCAATGATTTTTAATCAAAATGGGGTAGGGTTATAAAAATAGAAACTGGACCGTCCGAACTCAACTATGTGGTCGCAGATTGCACTGCAGATCAGGTCTGCGGCCCGTAAAATGTACCGCATAAATGGTCCCCAAAACTGGCCTGGCCTGGTCAAGTTTGCGGCCGTTTTGTGGCCCGCAGAACAGTTATGCGGTCGCATAACGCGCCGCGGAATCTCCCTCCAGAATTTTCTCATGCTGGTTCTGCGATGGATGTGAGGCCCACAAAATAATTATGCGGTCGCATAGTTGACCGCAAAACGACCTCCAAAAATTGGCCCTTTTTCTACTCCACTTCGCCGCGGATCTGCGATCCGCGGAGTAGTTCTGCGGTCGCATAATGGACCGCAGAAATGCCATGTTCTGCAACAATTTTCCTTCCAACTCCCCAGCGTATTGCATAACCCAAAAAGTCCGTACAACCCTCAAACACGTTAGCCTACCTCAGCACCACAAAACCCCAGATTTTAGGTAAAATTTTACGGGGTCTTACACGGATGTTAGGCTCTATCACGACCCCATGGTTGGGATTTTGGGTCGTGACATGTGTGATCTCACAAGTAGGGTTTAGGGAGTGTGGGGTGTACACAGACCTTACCTTTACCTTGTGTAAGGTAGAGAGACTGTTTCCGATAGACCCTCACCTCAATAAATTACTTCATATACGATTCATTGGACTAAAATGGGATATGCGAGATATAATATAAAACATGTATTCACTAGATAACTTGAATAAACTTTTATTCTTAATATTAACTTTGACTTTCTTTAAGGACTTTAAGAGAATAGTTTTAGAGAAGGGCATCTTACCACAAGTGGGATAAAATAATCCAATATTTTACAAGGATTGTTATCCTAATCCTTGTAACCAACTATCCCTCACGTCTTCCTTATTTCTTTAAGCCTTTACAAGTTCTCTTTACAACTTTCTTACGGCTTTCAGATCTTAGTTTGCGCTGCTAGTCTGCATCAAATCCTCTACGCAACGCGGTTACTCTTCGTCTAATCAACTATTTTAACTCGCAATAACTACGCTTAAATTTCTTGTGTGTAAGTGCTTTTGTGAGACAAACTAACCAAAGGTATTAATTTTCATGAATTTAGTGAGTAAACATTTCCCATCGAAGCATTACAAAGGTCATGATAAAGCCAGTGGATAGACATTTTATCAAGATAGAAATAAGATTATTAGGATACTGCAAAACCGAAAACCAATTTACTGATCCAAACACGATATATAGAGAACAGAAACTAAACTGAAACAACAGCTCTTTCACTGTATATTGGCTAATAAAATTAAGAAAAGGGCAACTTGAACAGCATAAATCCTAGCACTTCTCTTCAGCTGCATTTTTAGTGTGCGGATTCTCCATCTGTATGGCTGACTTAGGCTTCCTTGGCTTGTACCATGTTGCGCAAATTAGGTAAATCACAATGTTTATAACTCCCAACACAGCAAGAAGCCAGTAGAACAAGTCTAGCCTTCCATTGTTTATGTTGTCTGCAAGCCAGCCTTCATCAGTACCATTGCCTCCGGTCACCTTCTTGATAACCGATACTAAGAAGCTGCTAATGAAGAAACCAAGCGAAAGGGTTGTCAAGAAAAGGCCAGTGCTCATAGTCTTCATCCCTTTGGGCGATTGTGTTATGAAGAAATCGAGTTGGCCAGTGTATATGAAGGCTTCCCCTGCTCCTACCAAGAAGAATTGTGGGATCAAGAAGAATACACTAATTGGCAAATTAGTTGAAGAGTTGTGGCGCCCCATGGATTTTGCAACTGTCAATCTTTTCTTCTCCGCTAAGGCAGCTGCTGCCATTCCTATTATGGAAAATACAAGCCCAATGGAAATTCTTTGTAGGCTGCTAAAACCTGCAAAATTAACCATGCATGTTTAGGGTTGATGAAGCACCTTCAGCTTAATTCTCCACTCAGATATACTCCCTCCCTCTGCCCGAATTTATGTGATGCAGTTCGGATTTTGAGAGTCAAACTTCTTAATTTTGACGCGAATTCAAACATAGAATCTTTAAATTTTGCGAAATAAAATTCATATTTGGAAAGTACATCATTAGTTACAATACTTAACAATTCAAAATATTTAAAAGGCATAAAAGTTATACCTGGTTTTCCCTTCCATTTCTTCCAAAGTGGCATAATAATTCGGTCATAAACAGCCAAGGTGATCAAGATGGCCGCAACAAAGAAGACAGTGAGAGACCCTGCTGGAATTTGGAAATTGCCAATTGATCTTTCCATGGTGGAAGCTTGTTCAACAGAAAATGTAATCATTTGTGCGTAGGTGGTCCAGAAAATTATAGTGGTGGCCCAAATTGGGAGCAGCCTTGCCATCATTTTCACTTCCTCAACTCTTGTCACTGTGCTAAGCTTCCATGGATTTGGATCAGAGCATGATCCATATTGGTCCTCAAAATCTCCCTCAGCTACAATTGCAGCCTTGTCCAGTACTCTACAACCAAATTAGTAAACATCGTTAGTTAAAGAGTCCAATATTTGAATTTGTTAGGTGTGTGAACGTAGTCCCATATTAGTAGCTGAGAAGATAATATGGTTCTCATAATGGTGTGAGACCTTTTGGGAAAAACCGTACGAATTTGGCCCAAAGCAGACAATATCACACCATGTTAAGAGTATCTTCGAGTAAGTTTAGCCGAACATAATTTTGATATAAAAAGAAAACTAACCTAAATTCTTGTGTGTGTTGGATTCTTGTAGCCTCTGAATTAGTAGTCTCATAGAGCATGCCAACATCATATGGAAGATCCATTTTCCTTTTCCTTATAGCAGCAAAAATGACTTGAAAAATGTGTACTATAGGACTTCCCGAGCTTTTCTTGTATCGGTACTTTTTAGTACCTAGAAGGAAGATTAGGATGGCAATGAGCATGGATACAGAGCAAACACCATAAGCCCAGCTCCGTCCGACTTCATCTTGGATGTAAACAAGCACGGTTACTGCTGTCAAAGTCCCTATGCTGATGAAGAAGAAGAATCTGTTGAAGAAATACGCCATTTGCGCCTTTTCCTTGTCGTCTTTCTCATCGAACTGGTCTGTTCCAAATCCCGAGACACTTGATTTTAAGCCACCAGTACCTAATGCTATGAGATACAAGGCCATGTATAGGATTCCCATTTGAGAACCTTTTGCTGGTTGACAACTGACATCATGACGATGGCAAGGAGGTGGCCGCAGCTGCGGTAGGCTAACGGCCAGTGTTAACATCCCAGTTCCCTGAGTAGAATTTTATGTTTTTATTAATATAAAGTTGAAAACATTATTAATATTGACGGCCTCATGATTATTAGTTTAATTACCAGTGTCTGTATAAGAGCAAAGATTGCAATGGTTTTGTATCTGCCAAGGAAAGAGTCAGCAAGAAAGCCGCCGAGGAGGCAGAGGAGGAATGATGTGCCCATGAAATCTGTTACAATATTGGCTGAAGTTGAACTAGGCAAATGCATAGTTCCACCTAAGTATGTCACCAGATTTACTGCTATTCCCATTGTCGACAACCTTTCAACAATTTCAATCCCTGCAAAATTTCATTTACCAACGAAGATCAATCACTTTTTCATTAGTTAATAGTATATCTTTAATTATTAACATCACTTGTCATTGCCTTTAATGTTTAGTTACAGAAGCAACTTAACTCTTAATTTCCATTACTTACCATAATAAGCATAACCATATGAAAATGAATTCAAAAAATGCATGCTAAGTTTCTCAATCACTATCTTATAAAGCACGAGGAAACACTGAGATCGAGTTAAAAACTCCAATAAAATTGACTCGGCACGAAATTTAAAAAAATAAATAAAGACTTTTAAAATCTTAAAAACTTAAAGAGTAAACACTTTTATATGACTTCCAAGTTGTATCGCTATACCAACTTATTAAAGCCAAATGGTTTCAAAATATAAAATAATAATACAGTCCAAACCTAAGATAAGAGCAGCAGGTACCCAACCACCAGTTTTAGACTTATCAGCTGGGGACCCCTTGTAGTCCACAGCATCTGAGACAGTCCAACTCATCTGAAACAAAGTAATTGGTGAGATGAAGAGAATATTAAGACAGGAAACACGTAGATAATGTAATAATAGTATTAACTAATTCTACTAACCATTTCTTTCCCGACTAATTAGTGTCAACAGTCGAAAAGAAAAGACCCCAGAGATATAAAGTTATTGAAACTCTTTATTTTCACACTCTTGATTTTCCGCTTACAAATTCCCTCCTTTTATAGCAAAGGTTTTTGGAAAAAGTGTCCCTCCACTACTAGCTTGAGATCGACAGATCACTTCTTGATTGAATTTAGGCCTATATATCTCATTAATATTTTAAAGATGGAAGGTTCTAGCATTTAGTTGTCGTTTCCTTTTGGACAACATTTGATTGAGGTTAATGAAACGAGTATTTGAAGTTGAAAAAAAGTGTAGAGTCGTATGCTTTTAAACATATAGCATTTCATTTGATAAAAGGTTAGATGTGTTTGTGAGTGAAAACCATTAGGAAATAATTCTCAAATTAAGATTTGCAGCTTCAAATTGTGTATTCCAACAAATTTTCGTGAACTTGAAACAGTGGCTATGTTACACCCAAAAAAACATTGATAAGCGAATAATATTTTATTATCGATAAATAATACGTACTATATCCAAAAGGTGATGCAAATATGAAAAGCTGTGTTAAAGTAAGCAGAGGTAGATTATCCAGAATTTAAGTTTTATGAGTTCAAATTTTAAAGTTTATTAGAATTGAACTCATTATCTTAGGGGTCGTTTGGTTTGAAGACAAGTTATGCCGGAATTAGTTATACTAAGACTTTTTATGCTGAAATTAGTTATTTTGGTATTACTTTTTATTGATTGTTTGGTATGTTGTATTAATCCTGGGAGTGACAATTTTACTGCTTTATCTTGAGATAACTTATCCTAAGATTTTTATTTCACCCTCCGACAGGTATAAGTTATCTCGGTACTATTTTTAATCCTGGAATAACTTATGCCAAAATTAGTAACCAAACAAGAGATAAGGCGGTACTATATTTTTATCCCAAAATTATTTTTGCTTATCTATCATACCAAACAACCCCTTAGAGTTATGGATTCATATATATTATTTATTGCATTTTAATAGATTGTTATACATAAATTTATACTCCAAATCAAAAGTAAATTAAGATTTATTAAGATTATATCATTATATCTTTTGAGTCTTAAGCTTGAGATATTATAAAAACTTATCACATAGAAGAAAAAACAATCAAGAGTATTAATTTATTGTGCCATTGGATTTTCAAATGTTTCATTTGAAGAAAAATCAATCAAGAGTATTAATTTATTGTGCCATTGGATTTTCAAATGTTTCATTTTGTTTCATTTGAAGAAAAATCAATCAAGAGTATTAATTTATTGTGCCATTGGATTTTCAAATGTTTCATTTGGTTTCATTTGAAGAAAAATCAATCAAGAGAATTAATTTGCATTAGCTAGAATTAATGGATTTTCGTATGAGAAACTAGTAAAACTCTTTATGAATCGTGGAAAGGTTATTCCCTAATTGAATAATTCTTTTAGTGTGGGAGTCTAGGTATATTTTCAGAGTTATATAGCATGATCCTAAGAAGAACAAATGTGAGAAAAATTATAATGAAGCCTTATAAATTTGAGATTTTTTGTGGTGAAAATTTGTATTTGAGTAAAAGAAAAAAATATAACTCATATTTTTGGCTCCGAAAAGCTATTTTGTCGGGTCTCTTATTCATTTGGGTGAAGACATCATTGAATTATGACACATTTTCTACTAATTTGAGATGTTTTGTGTAGAAGTTAAAGTTGCTTTTATATTTAAGATTTTTAACTTTGGTATTTAAATATGGAAGATACCAAAAGAAAATAAATTATAATATGCGTTGAATATTTCAAAAGGCACTTGTATGGAAGTCAAGTTTCTTTTCATTTGATAAGATTATATTCCTTACTTGAGAAGTACTATGAGTTAATATGTTATATGTGAATTTTTTACTGTATTAGTATGTCATGACCAAAAATCCAACTAGTCGTGATGACACCTAACCCAACCCGCTAGGTAAGCTAATTAACAACTATCCAATTTAATGAGATTTATTGAGACAAATGAATGATAAAATAACTGAACCTTTGTACATTTTCCAAGGACTGGTAGTACAAATCACGAGCTTCTAAGATTTATAATTTACAAAGCTAGTATGAAATAAAATACATCATCTGTTTGAAATATACATAAATATATTAAAATTCTAAAGCTACCAAGATCAAGAGTCAGCTATGACCGGAACGCATGTACATCTTCATATCTAGCTCCCACCATATACAACAACATCAGCATTCAACATCTGCACGCAAGGTGCAGAAGTGTAATATGAATACAACGGACCCTATGTACTCAATAAGTAACAAACCTAACCTTAGGTTGAAAGTAGTGACAAGCTGGGACAAAGGTCAGAGTTCAATACCAATAGCCAACAACAACTCATAACAATATAATAAAAGTGATACAAGAAATAACCCACAGATATTATGTTCAACTAGTTCACAGTTGCGGAACAATAGTCATACTTTTCACGTATAATAGTAAAACCCAAATATTTTACTGAAATCACCAAAATATGAGTAAGTTTGAAAAACTGTGATTTTTCCCACAACTTTTAACAGGTAAATGTATCATTATTAGATGGCATGAGGAAAGTACATCTCTGTGCCTACATGTCAATGTGTATGAGAGGTCATGAATGACGTAATACCGTACAACATGAGGAAAATGCATCTTTATGCCTGCATGTCAGGTGTGCATGTCAAATGCAATGCAACACAGTGGTAAATCCATATGTATACTCTCAGAGTATCAATTCACTCAGTTCTCTTAGTCACTCAGTCCTCACGGTCACTCATTCCTCACATTCACTCAGTCCTCCTAATCACTCGGCACTCACTCTCGGCTCTAGCACTCGGCATTGTACAAGGCAGATCCAGCCCAGGGCAGATCCAGCCTCAAAAATCAATAACAATTGCACTCACTGTGGGTGTGCAGACTCCGGAAGGGCAGATCCAGAGTGCTATAATAACCCAATCATGGCATAAATCAATAATACATGTTGCGGCGTGCAACCCGATCTCATCATGAATCAATAATACTTGTTGCAGCGTGCAGCTCGATCCCATCAATATCACTCACAAATAGGCCCCCGGCCTCATTGAGTCATCAATCTCTCCAGTCCCTCGGGCTCACAATGTCATGAAAATCAGCCCAAAAATAATGATATGATGTATCAATAAATCGCAACAGAGACTGAGACATGATATGCAAATGAATGAGTATGACTGAGTATGCAACTGCAATTTAAGCAAATAACTCGACAGCAGAAATGACCTCAGTAGGTCTTAACGAGATAAACATATGGCTTAGACATAGTTTCTAACATGGATCACAATTCAATTATTCTAGCACGTAGAAATTTCATGAATAGAAACAACATTAGGTCACTACACAGTACCACAGGATCAATCGAGTCATATTTCACACAGTGCACGCCCACACGCCCGTCACCTAGCATGTGTGTCACCAAATACATATCACGTAGATTCAGGGGTTCATAACCTCAACACCAAGTTTAGAAATGTTACTTACCTTGAACAAGCCAAATCCAATACCAAGCAAGCCAAATAATACTCCAAAACTACCATCTCTCACCTACCGACCTCTGAACGGCTCGAAACTAGCCAAAATCAATTCAAACACATCAAATAATGTATAAGAAAACAAACCCAATTGATAAAGGCCGAATCTATAATAAAAATCCCAAAGTCAACCAAAAAGTCAAACCTGGGCCCGCACCTCAGAACCCGAAAAAACTCACAAAATTCGATAACTCATTCAATTACGAGTCCAACCAAACTAGTTTCACTCAAATCCGACTCCAAATCGATGTTCAAATCTCGAAAATTCACTCTATAAAACTTTAGACAAAATCCCCCAATTTTCTCTCTTGAAATCCTCAATCAAATGCCAAAAATGAAGATAGATTCATGAAATATAATAAAAAATAAGTAGAGAACACTTACCCCAATCCACATAGTTAAAATCACTTCAAAAGTCGTCTCCATCCGAGCTTCATATCTCCAAATATGCAAAAATAGCTGAAACCCCCGAAATTAGAGTACTTATAATCACTAGGCGAATTAATGAATCGTGATCGAGGAAATACCCTTGCGATCGCAAAGGAAAAAATGTACCGCCCCTGAAAAGAACCTATGCGAACGCGGCCCCAGGCTCGCAAATGCGATGAAGAAGCCATGAAGACCTGCCCAGCACAACTCTACAATTCGAACGTGTGCACACTTGCGCGAACGCGATGCTCAATCTGCAGTAACCTACGCGAACGCGGACCAGTATTCGCGAAAGCAAAGAAGAAACACTTAGCTCTAGATTTTTCCCTTACGCGATCATATCCCTCAATCGGCGATCGCGAAGAACACTGGGTGCACCAGACATCAGCAGAACCAACAGTGCAATTATGAAGAAAAATGGTCCGAGAACAATCTGAATCAAGTCCGAGCCCTTAGAGACATCGTCTGAACATTCCAACAAATCCCATAGCATAACACAGACCTACTCGAGGCCTCAAATCACGTATAACAATATCGAAACGACGAATCGCACCTCAAATAAAACCTAATGAACTTTTAAACTTTCAACTTCCAAAACTCGCGCCGAAACATATCAAATCAACCCGGAATGAACTCAAATTTTGCACACAAGTCCCAACTGACATAACAAAACTATTTCAATTGCCGGAACCATAACCCAAACCGTGAAGGTGTGTGAGCAGGTAAACTATGGATAATTCAACTAGTCGTGATGGCACCTAACCCAACCCACTAGGTAACCAATTAACAACTATCCAATTTAATGAGATTTATTAAGAGAAATGAATGATAAAATAACTGAACCTTTATACATTTTCTGGACTGGTAGTACAAATTATGAGCTTCTAATATTTATAATTTACAAAGTTGGTATGAAATAAAATACATCATCTGTTTGAAATATACATGAACAGATTAAAATTCTAAAGCTACCAAGATCAAGAGCCATATATGACCGGAACGCAGGTACATCTTCAAATCTAGCTCCCGCCATACACATCAACATCCAACATCTGCACGCAAGGTGAAGAAGCGTAGTATGAGTA